AATGATTTTCTGAGTAAACACGAACGCGTAAAAATATTCGATAACAATTTTATTAATCGATGGAAGTAAATGAAAAGGAATTGAACTAAATGAACTCTATAATAATGTAAAATGTCAATGAACAAACTGGAATACAGGAATTAGAACTTCTTCTTGTTGGGTCTTCGACTTGGGATATGTTTCTTGCCGTTTAATCGTACAACCTCGACGTGTGTAACCGATAGTGCTGTCGATACAACTCCTAGAAATAAATAAAATGAATGCGGAAAAATTACAAAAATAGGAGTCTATGGAAATTCCAAGCTGCGTGTGAAACTATACCAATGAGTATAGAATCCATCCAGCAAAAAACCAAAAATAGCACAAGAATCAAAACAACGAGGCGGATTCGTTTTCACAGAATCCAAACAACGAGGCGGATTCGTTTTCACAGAATCCAAGGCCTGTTTTCACTGGGCCTGTCAGTCAGTCGGTCGGCTTTCGCACAACCCTGGCCTGTTTTCACTGGGCCGTCGAGTCTGATCGGCTTTCGCACGGCCAAGGGCCTGTTTTCACTGGGCCTGTCAGTCAGTCGGTCGGCTTTCGCCCAACCCTGGCCAGTTTTCACTGGGCCGTCGAGTCTGGTCGGCTTTCGCACGACCAAGGGCCTGTTTTCACTGGGCCTGTCTGTCAGTTGGTCGGCTTTCGCACAACCCTGGCCGGTTTTCACTGGGCCGTCAAGTCTGGTTGGCTTTCGCACAACCAACGCAAAACAACAAGAGTCAGAACAACACTGGAAACAAATTGTGTGACTTTAGTACGCGTGCGAAACTATGCCAATGAGCATAGAGTCTCGTACCAAATCCACTTTTGAGAACTTAAGACGTTTCTGAAATTATGCCAATGATCATAGAATCACGAATTAAGTCTCTTAGATACCAGAATAGGCACCGATTATTCGAAGCTACCTAACTGGTGAATAAGTAATAATAAAATAGTATTTTTAAATTAGAAAAATTACGTTAATTTTTTTTTATAAAATTTAATTGAAACTGAACAATAATGCTTGACAAATTCAATGTGTACGTGTTGATGAATAAAGACAATTATAACAAACAAACAAATGGACAAAACAAAATTTTAACGTTTTGTTGTAAACTTGAACGATCGTCACTACTGACACCAATGTTATAACTTCAAAGATCTATTTATTTCCAACATTAGTGTTGTAGCTTCCAACGATCGTCGAGTTATCGTTATTCTGTAGGTTTAAGATTTTCGATAGATGAACACAACTACTAAAACTTGGTTGATTCGAATGCCAACAGTAATAGAAACAATAAACTAATCCAAGTAACTACATAAATAACATATACCACTCTGCTTCAAACCTCCCCCTTCACTTCGCCTCTCCTGCCCCTTATCTACAAAACTTTTCCAATATTTCCAAAACCTTCATTATCGTCTTCGTAATCAGCTTCATTATTACTGTAACACCTTTCTTTCTTCACGACAACACTCGCATCGTGATTTTCACGTGCTTCGTAGTTGCAGATATCACGTGCGTCGCAGTTAACACGTGTATCGAAGTTTAAATCATCCCTAGAAAGTATTGACTTGCAATCGCTAGTGTAATTGTAGGTAGTTGAATAAGCTAATGACAGGTAAGAATTTTGTATAGCTGTTTCGGTCAAATACATTTGTCGTTTATCGGTGTGCTATCTAATTTGGTTTCCCTGTTCTCGATTTACACGGACGAAATTTATTTCATTGAAGTGCTGTTTTTCCGTTGGCTGCTCGTAATTCGGCTATCCATTGATCCAGTCTACTACTTATTCTTTCAAATTCGGCCGTCTGTTGATCGATATATCTATTAATTTTGGCATGCTGTTGTTCCGTATGATCCGGAAAATTGAACTCATCCGGATCGATTTCTTTTATTAGAGCGTCCTTTAAGCGGTTTATCAAAACTCCCTTCGCTTCTTTTGAGTCGAGGTTCTATTGTCGTAATTCCTTCCTCAGAAATACACATTCACACATACATAGAAACATTTATAGATATAGATGTAATTTTTTTATTTATTTACTTTTAATTTGTAACATTATAAAGAATTGAATGAAAGAATAAAAATTAACTTCATTTATTAGATACTGTCCAGGTGGGCCTGATTCAGATTTTGAATACAGCAGTCAATCATACACTGGCTACGAGGTTGAATATTAAAGAATAGTTTTTATAGTAACTTTATTAATTTCGTTTTTTTAAAGCCAACTTCCATGAGAGCAATCAGAGCGAGATATGATCCATACCTTCAAACAAGGCATAGAATTGAACAGGTTGATTTTTAAAAATATGTATTATAGTTTCTTCTTTTTTCTTCTTTTTTTATACTTGTCTTTCAGTCATCTTGTTATCACCTTTTTACAGTTTTTATCCATTTCTGGTGGCAGATCTAGACAACTTTCAGGAAAAATATTTAGGGTTGCACCGGATAGTACTTTTTGGTATAGCCGGATAGTAATAACTGATAGAATTGCGTCGGATAGTACTTTTTATATAGCCGGATAGTAATAACTGATATCACTGACTAGAAGGCTTACGATGCATAAACTGAGTGGTTATATCAAATCTCAACACACTCAATCACACTCAATCACCATAAGCCGTGAAATCCTCGACAGCAACGTCAAAGTAATATACCAGAACACCAACTACACTCATCTTAAAATTGCAGAAGCAGTCCTAATTGACGTCAATATACCAAAAATATATATACAACAAAAAATGACAACCTCACTCCCAACTCGGCGCTTAATCTACAATGAAAACAAAGAAGTAATAAAAACTAGCATTGTAAATAATGACAAAGAAGAATATGATGCTATCGATGAAGAAAAGAAAACCAACGAAGAATAAAAAAATCTAACACCTAATTTCAATCTAAGTTCACTTTTTTTAATATTTCCTTATATAAATCAACTTGCACTGATGATGATTCATTCGGAATCGAAATATGACCTTATTTGCAGCATGAATTCGGAAAATAAGTTTATTTTGAATTTTAATAAACTAAACGTTCTCCAAAAAAAAATCGAAAAAACGAACAACAAACTTATTAACGCCAAACATTTGGTAGAATTTATAGAATATTGTAAAAATTATGGTCTATTACCAACACACACACACACACACACACACACACACACACACACACACGCACGCATATATATATATGTATACAAATATATATATATATATATATATATATATATATACAAACTACACGCATCTTAAAATTGCAGAAGCAGTCCTAATTGACGTCAATAAACCAAAAATAAATATACAACAAAAAATGACAACACAACTCTATCATAATATATATATATACCGCTCGCAATGCATCAACAACTATCACACATTTTTGTAGACCTTGTTCGAGTTCCCCCGTGAAGCAATCGGGTGGAGTTTACGTCGACAACTCATTCTAGAATATCCTTTTCGACTTGTGATGGAAATGTATACGAATACTTAGCACAACGGCTGGAAGCACAGATGCATTTAACATCGGCGTTCGAGTTCAGGTTGTAAAGCTGGTGTTGGTAACAAATCAATCAAGTGTCAGCAATGAAACCAGTGGTGTCACAAAAGTTGTTCAAATATAATTGGTACTTTATCTAAAGTGTCCAATTTTGTTTGTCCTTCCACAACAACAAAATTGTAATAGCAATGTTTTTGAAGCCATTAAGGTAGAGAAAGTCACATCGTTTCAATATCTAGGAGATGTTTTAGATTGTACTGGAACAGCTGAAACGGCCGTTAGAAACTCTAAGTGCCGTTGTTTGTTTGCGTGAGTAAGTTGGATCGTTACAGCCTGTTGTTGGATGTTTGTTACCGGGTTTCTATATTCTATTAATAAAGCCTATGCCATTCTCAAATTACTTTCGTATTTGAATTTAATATTTTCCTTGTTATTTTTATTTGGTTTTATTTTATCCTTTAGATGATTTTTTGTATTGCACCATTTTGTGTATTCATTGTTAACCTTCTTCGGAAGTCTTAGTATTAAATCCGATATATTTTGTGTTTCGGTGCCTACAATCGCCGATTTTATAATCAAAAGAATTTTAGATGACTGCGATTCTGGTTTAGTATTGCAATTATTTTTAAGGACAAAGGATGAGGTTTTGTTGTCCTAAGTTTTAATTTATCATTGTTGTCATTTTTTGTTACTTTTGTTTGTTACGTCACGAACTTTTGCTAATAATTTTTCAATAAATGTTCTTTTGTAACCATTGTTAATTAGCATGCTGGTTATACTTTTGAGTTCAGTTACTCTATCCTCCGGATTGGTAGAATATATAAAATATATGTGTGTGAATATATATATATATATATTATTTAATTTAAATGATAATAATTGAACAGTTGAAACAGTTAGGTCACAATGTGGACAAAGTAGAGTTTATCGTGATGGGTGGCACTTTTATGTCCTTGAATGAAGAATACAGAAATTATTTTATCAGGTTTTTAATTGTTAATATATATTATATTAAAAATGATATTAGTTGGATTTATCAATACAAATGTTTAAAGCGGTGCTCGTGGGAACGTAGCTCGGGCCCGCCAGTGTGCAGAAGCAGTTACTTGCGTTCGTAGCTTCTTCCATCTTTCTATCTTGTTCATTTACCCTTACCTTAGCATATGTATCCATGTTATATATTTCCTTTATATGGGGGTATAGCGGATGCATGTTTTTACGTTTTGTTGGAAGTTGTCTATGTTCGTTTTGTTCATCCTATAAATTTGTTATATTGCAATCAACACGAAAATTTTTAAAATAATTGTGTTTTGCCATGAGCTGCTTTTGAAGTTATCATTATCATTGACCTATTTTTGAAGTTATCATTACTTATTACTTTAAAAAAAAAAAATTTGTTTATCGTAACTTATGACTCCCATAATAGTCCTCAAAGACAATCAACTGTTTCATGCACGTCTATGATATGAAACGATTGAAATCATTGAAAAAATACATGGCTGTAACAATCTGAAAATAAAGGGTGATGAAAACAGTCGTTGCCGCCATAATTTTTACACGCATCATGCCAACTGGATTACAGAAATAAATTGTAAACGTTTGCGGTTTTCGAAGTAGCGCCAGTGCTTTTGGTTTTTGTTGCTTGAATTCTAATAGAAATTGTTGGAAGGAAAATTGCGATTCATTTTAACTTTCACCGATTTAACAAATTTATTTGACATGGTGAATAGACTTGATGGCTCTGTAAGTTTGAGTGCTCATTAACTTTTATGACTTAACAACAAAATTTCATCTCACCATTTTCGTGTAGGCGGTCGCTTACCTCGTCGTGAATGCCTTAATTTTTGAAATCTTTATTTATCTGAAAATCTCACACCAAATTATAGACATACAAATAAACTTGGGCACATTCTTCATTTCAACTGTTTACTCAAAAGAAATAATTGGCATGGCAATCTGCTAATACTTACCTGTCTGCCCGCATTCTTACCCGCCTGCCAATCCATCCGTTATTTGACCATTTCATGTCTTACTCATTCTTCACTTGAACTGTTCATTCAAAAGTTTTTTATACTGGGAACTTTGTGTAAATGTATATGAAATAATTCGCATTGCAATCTGCCAATCTACCGGTCTGCCCGCATTCTTACCCGCCCGCCCATCCGTTATTTGTCCATTTCATGTCTTGCTCATTAATATAATCTAAAAAAAATTATTTTTATGATAAAAAAAATTTTTGAAATGAAAAAATCAACTTAAGTTTTAAATCAATATAAATCATATCTTTAGTGTAAAGTAAATTTACTAAAAAATACTAAGTTACTAAAAATATAGTATATAAAAAACAGTATTAAAATTCAAGGATCATTCAATCAATCAATCTTCGTTTAGCGTCCAGAGACCCAGTTCTCCCGAGGTAGGACGTTGTTTTCTTTGCCATCATTTTTTGCGCCAAATACGACTGTCAGTTGTATCCATTTCATTTAAATTTGGAGCTTTCATGTCGCTCGATTCTTTGCGAACAGGATTTCTTTGGACGGACTTCGTCTTTTATATCATCTAAACCAGCACGACGCAGGATTTTGGTAGATTTGATGTAGTCCTTCAGACTAATTCGTTGCATCCAATGGAGCATTTTCATATCGGTTGTTCCAGTTTGGTTATCATTGGCCATGGTTCTGCACCATATAACAACACCGGACGTATCACAGATTTATAAAGTCTTGATCGTAGTGGTAGTGGGATGTCACGCCGCATTAGTAGAGAGGCAAGGAAATGCGTTCAGCTGGAACAATCAGTACAATCCAGAACTTTTCCTAGATATTGAAACGATGTAACTTTCTCTACCTTAATGGCTTCAAAAACATTACTACTTTGAATTTGTTGTGAATTGATGCAAGCAGGACAAACAAAATTGGACACTAGATAAAGTACCAATTATTTTTGAAGAAGGTTTGTGACACCACTGGTTACACTGCTGATACTTGATTGAATTGTTCATTGCTTTGATTTTGCTGATGTTAACTTTGAATCCATGATCGGCGAGTCTGGTGTTCCAATCTTCAAACATTTTTACTGCATTCTGCTCAGACGTGGCTGGTTAAACAATATCATCAGCATATATACATTTCCATCACAAGTCGAACTAGTTATTCTGGAATGAGTTGACGACTGATTGCTTCACGGGGAACTCAATCAAATGCTTTTTCTAGATCTACAAAAATGTGTGATAGTTGTTGATGCTTTGCGAGGTACTTTTCTTGCAGTTGCCAAAGGATGTAAATTGCATCAATTGTTGATTTCCCTGTTAGAAAACCAAATTGATAATTTCCGATTGTGATGCACGACGTTAATTCTCTTTCAATGATTTTCTCGACAATTTTCAGGTAGTGTTCTAACAGACGTTTACCCCGATATGATAAACAGTTCAATGGATCACCTTTGCCTTTGTATAGCGGAACTGTCATGCTATAGTTCCATTCAGTTGGCATTGAGGAATTTCTCGACACTTCACCGCTAAGTTGATGTAACGTTTGGATACCTGCATTATCAGATGCTTTGATAATGCTTCATAGCATTCAGAGCTTCTGTAAGCTCCTCTACAGCGATGTTTGGAATCGGACCTTCGATGGGTGGAGCGTCAAAGTTGACATTGATGGGATTTGTTTCATTTAACAGACGGTTGAAGCTGTAGCTTGATCTCATCTTGTTCAAGAACCATCTCGTTTTTGTTGTTTTTGATACATGAGGCATCAACTATGTCTATGTGTTATAGTGATGTTATAATAACATTTTATTTCATTTAGATATGGGCGTATGTTCTTTGCCCCCATTATTTCTTTATGTTTATGTCTTTTTTCGTACGCTTTGCTTGTTTTGCTCTACGATACAGAGATTTCATTTGTTCACCTTTGCTTTTAGTGAGGCACTCTCTGCACTGATCTGACCGAGCCAGTGCGACTTGACGTCTTGCATAGTTGTTCTTCTCACGGAAAATTTTATGGTTAAAAGATTTTGATTTTTGCCATTGCTTGTATGCAACTTTCTTTTCCGCTATTGCATTTTTTACACTGTCATTCCATCACTAAGCGTCACGTTCATGCTTTCGTTTTGTACCAGTTTTCTCTCAAACGGTAGTTCAGCTTTTTTTGCAGCTATTGCATTTTGTACTGTCATTTGTACTGTAGTTGCAGCGTTTTGTATGTAATCCAATCTGTACTGGCTTGCGATTAGTGGTCTACCTGTGTGGCGACAATCTGTTGAATTTTTTCTCGATGAAAATTGCTTTTTAACTTCACGTTTTGGTTTTTCGAGGCATTTGTTTAGACTTATGTTGTGACAGCCAGGTCTGCCACAAGAAGTCTATGTTGGGCGACCGATGATTCGCCAGGTATAACTTTGACATTTTTGAATAGCCTTCGGTGCAGCGTAGAAATCAATTTGCGTGGCTGATGGTCCACTTTTGTAAGTTATGAGATGTTCCAACCTCTTTCTAAAATATGTGTTCAGTAAACAAAACCCGTGGCTTTCAGCAAACTCAAGGGTGCGGTTGCCATCTTCATTCTTTCCCCATAACATTGTCAAAACCATCTGGCCATTGGATCAGGATTGTTTCAGATTTTGGTTTTGTTGAGATGGTGTCAGAGAACGCAGTCCAAAAATCATTTTTCATCTCTTCTTCATTTTCGCCTGTCGGTTGTGCGTTTGCAGAAAAAATAGTCATGTTTGCTTTTCTAGGCGAAACTTGATCCACATGAGACGTGAGTTAATTTTTTTAATATCCAGTACTTCTTGGGCTAGCGGTTCTCTGACAATAATTCCAACACCATTTTTGGCCGTTTTTTGACCATTATACTTCGTCTGAGTTGATATGACAGACACCATTCGATTTCCATCGGGTCTCCTGAAGGCAGCAGATGTCAATCCTTCTACGCTCGAGTATTTCTGCATTTTCCAAGCTGCGGCCGGTCAGTATTCCAACATTGAGCGAATATTATTTATTTAAGGAATATGTTAATTATTCAAATATAGTGAATTTTAAAATTTTAACATATCTTCTGAAACCTTTTAGCTTCGACATAGAAAATTAAATTTTAGCAAATTAATAGAAAAAATTGTAAATTAGTTAGTTTTAGTAACGCAATTAAAATTTGTACCAACTTAAGTTTTGTTTTTATATTTATTTTATAAAATATATGGCATATTATATTTGAAAACATTTAAGGGCTATTGTCCTTCTATCAACTCTATCAACTTGCTAAAAATGTAAATGATTTTTAATAAAATTTTTCTTGTTCTTTGTTTTTTAAAGTTTTTATTTTTTGTAACCTAATCACCCACAATTTGAATTATTAGAAGTTTGCATGATGCGTTGTCTGGTCATACAAGTGGATCAGTAGAAGAAGCTATAAAGTTAGTTTGTATGTTTTTTTTGTTTTTTTTCCTTATTGGACCAATTTTTATGCCGTATATATGCGGTTTATGTAAACTAATAAATAAATAAATATTTTATTATAGCTAAAAAATAAATATTTTATTATAGCTGTAATCTATATTTATTTAGTATTTAGCAGTTTATAAAATGAACAGTAAGCTCTTGCGAAGCGTTATATTGATTAGTAAAAAGTAAAGTCGTGATAAGAAGATTGACAAACACTACTGGGAGGCGCTTAGGTCGCATATAAGAACAACTGTACGATGCCGTTGATCTTCCGATAAATAGCATTTTTCGTTGCTAGCTTCTCGTTCGTCGTGTGTTTTTCTTAATTATCTGTTTTATAAACTGATAAATTATATTTATTTCAGCTTAAATTGATTAATTTTTATCACAAATAAGTTGTTTTTATTCAAGCTTCACAATTTAATTAAAAAATTTACTTAATATCCAAGTTTAAATTTGTTCCTAATTTCTAAAAATATGACGACTGATAATTTTGAAGTCCTGATAGCAAAAATTCTGGACAAATCGAATAATAATTTTTTTAAATGTGTTGATAAAGTTATGGAAAAATCAAACGAAAACTAAGAAAAGATCATAGAGATCTCCAGCAAAAATTTAACAAAAACAAAGGAGAAGTCTGACCTTAACCTGAAGCATGTAATTGAAAAATTTAGCGATAACCTGCGCAAAACACTGGCTTATTCAGAAAGCTGAGCAAACTGTTTGAAACCACCATGTCAGACTAGAAGCGTTAAGTAATAGTTTTGAATCTGCGGTTAGAAGTGTGTCAAATTCCGTAACTGACTACATGAAAGAACTGCACTTAGCCATGTCAACACTTGGCACCAGCGTTTCCGAGTGTCAACAGCAGGTGGTCAAAACCAATAAAACTTTAATGCTAGAAACAATGACTAAGGCTTTGTGGACAGTGGAGCACGAAAGGAGAAGAGGAACGTCGCTCACGAAACTTAATTGTCTCAGGTTTGGAGCTTCAGCCGTGTGGTAATGAGAGAGATGTTGTTTCATCTTTATGCGAAAACTACCTCACTGTCAAGCCGCAAATTGCAAAAACTCGCCGTATTGGGAACTCCAGAATATGCGTCATACTAAACAGTTCGTCGGCAGCTGAAAATCTGATGCATTGTCAAAGATTCTTCGTTCATCTCCAGCTACGAAAAATGTTTTCATCATTCTTGACCTCTCTAAGAGGCAGGCAGAGCAAGCTTTTCTGATGAGACAGAGTCAACTTGAAGCAGTCAACACCATTTCTAAAAATGACCATCAATAAAGGTATGATTCATATGGCCTTAGCAAATGTGCGTAGTATTCAGAAGAAACAAAACGATCTCAGTTTATTTTTATCAGTTTACGAGCCAGATGTATTTTCTGTTATTGAAACGTGGCTCTCCCCTAATGATCCTGATATTTATTTTTACCTCCTGGATTTTGTTTTGTTTGAAAGGATCGGGGATCATGTGGTTGTGGTGCGGCCTTCATTTTCAAAATTACTGTTCCATATAAGATCGTTGAGAAACGTCTAATTTTCACACATCGAGATAGTTTCTATTGACATTTCTACTTCAAACAAAATATACCGCTTCATCTCCTACTATCGTAGTGGTGGTTTTAACCAAGCAGCAGAAGATTACGCGCTAGATAGCGCTAGATGTATCAATGTAAACTGCTTGATGGATGATTTTAATCTTCTTCAAATCGACTGGAAAATTATTTGACCCCAAACATAATAATTTTTTCGATCTTTTAACGATTTTGGTTTTCACCAGCTCGTCGATCAACCAACACGAAGAAACAATATTGTAGCTAGATCTTATTTTATCTGATGACACTAGTTTGCTGGCCGAATTAGAAGTCTCTTGTCTTCCAGTGCTAGATGTATCAATGTAAACTGCTTGATGGATGATTTTAATCTTCTTCAAATCGACTGGAATAATTATTTGACCCCAAACATAAAAATTTTTTCGATCTTTTAACGATTTTGGTTTTCACCAGCTCGTCGATCAACCAACACGAAGAAACAATATTGTAGCTAGATCTTATTTTATCTGATGACACTAGTTTGCTGGCCGAATTAGAAGTCTCTTGTCTTCCAGTGATCACAATCTCTTTTCAAGTCAATTGCGCTACATGTAACTTACCAAAAGAAGATTTTTATAGTGCTATATTCTACTATAAAAAGCAAACTTTACTGGTATGAACCTATTGCTTGAGGCTGATAAACTGGGATAATATTTTCCAGCATTGCTTCAAGGTTAATACTTGTTGGGAAATTTTCGAACAGTTTCGAACACAATGTAATGTTATCTTATATTCCCCAAATTCATCAAAAAAATACAATGCGTAAATATCCGGTTCCTAATCGGCTTAGTTTATCTTATAAAATCTAACATCACTATTGGAAAAAATGGAAACTAAGTTCTTCCTCAGATAATAGAAAACTTTATTTGACAATGTCACAAAAATGTTCCATCCTAGCAAACCACTATAAAAAAAATCAACGAACAAAAGCTACTTTCTAAATCTAATGTCAGAAGTTTTTACCAGTGTGTCAATAACAAATTGTTTTTGCGATCCCAGATTAGCAGTTTAAGATTAGATGACAATAATGTAACACACGACCCGTTGGTTATGGCTACGACTATTTTGCTTCTGTATTTACAAATGACAACAGCGACATCTATCTCCTACCTCGTCTTTCCACAAGGTTACTGGAAGATATCTGTTTCACACCTCACATAGTATTTTTAACTCTACGAAACCTAAAAAATTCAACATTAGCTGGCCCATATATTACACCCAAGATGTGTGCATCAACTCTGGCAGTTCCACTTTTGTCACATTTTCGATTTATCATTTAAAAAGCAATCTATTGCCTAAAAATGCAATTGTTAAGAACTTTTTAATTGTTAAAAATTGAAATTGTTAAAAACTGCAACCCTATCCATAAAAAGGGTCCTACCAACTACCCCAGTAACTACATACCAATTGCCCTTACCAGTTCAAGTTGTAAATTAATTGAAAAAATAATTGTAAAAATGTTATCTTTTCTTTCTGAAAACAATTCATCACTAGTTCTCAACACGGTTTTTTCCCTGCCAGATTCGCCTGTTCCAACTGACTACAATTTTAGAGTGACTGGATGTCACTGGATTCGTCAAAATAGTGAAAGCTGCAACGCCATCTACCTGGATTTCAAAAAGGCCTTCGACTTTGTCGCACTCAAAGCTAGTTGGAAAATTAAAGTCCTACGGAATGTCTAAAAACTTGCTTTTCTGGTTGACAGACTTCGCATTTCAGCGTTCTCAACAAGTCCGGATTCAGATTGAGCTATCAGGTTTTGTACCTGTTACTAGTGGTGTTCCACAGGGTCCCACCCTATTTTTGATTTTCATAAACGACATTGTTAAGTGCACTACCACAAATGTTCTCATCGCTCGTTTTTTCCATCACCAAGATCTCTCCTAATTCCGCATCAATATTCAATTTACCTACAAGTTCTAACTTGTACAAACGAATTCAAAGATTTAGGAGTGACAAACTCAACTAACAAACTCAACTTCAATCTTCATATCAGTGACATCACAGGGCTTCTTCTCGTGCACGCCCAATCATCAGATGTTTCACCAGATCTACTTACGAAAGCTTTCTGCACATATGTACGACCACTTGTAGATATTGCTCACCAGTATGGAGTCCGCACAACAAGTATCAAGTGATCAAGATTGAAAGTGTCCAAAGAAGATTTACCAAATCCATCCCGTCTTTCGTATCTGTCTAGATTACACGCAGTTGGATTACGAAAACTAGAAAGTCGTAGATTAATTTTAGATCTGTTCCTGTTGCACAAAATACTACACAACCTCATCGAAACTGACCTAACCAGTCATTTTATACTTTCACGTTTTTTGTCAATTCGTTGTCATCAATGCCGATTGCAGGATTTCAATGAAACAAATGCAACAAAATATTTCTACTGTATCAGGACTATCCGTGTATGGAACGCTTTGCCGGCAAAAGTGGTTTCCTCAACTTCACTTTCAATTTTCAGCAATCATCTTTTGACTATAATCTAACTATTAATTATTATTATTATGTATTATTATCCCTCTTCGTATTATGTGCTCGCTCATCCAATTTTGTCGATTAACATTTTCACCGAGTTACAATCGTCATTTACCCATTAATGATAACCATCAAACTAATTTTTTTGTTACGCCCACAATGTTATTTGTTACATGTTTAAAATTTACTCTTGTACATAAATAATAGAGATGGGAATCGAACCCTACCTTTGATGTTCGGATTCGGTTCGGTCAGGCCCAAAGTTTCGGATTCGGTCGGGTCCAAAGTTCGGGTTCGGTTCGGTTCGGTCAGGTCTCAACAAGTTTGGGTTCGGTTCGATGAGATTTTGATCGACTTAATTCGTCGCAATAAAAACTAGTAGACATACGATTGAAATTATAGCTTAAAATTAATGAAACAATAAAGACTTTATTGACAATAAAGACAATAATATACAAATAAAATACACAAATCTATTAAAAAATACGATGCAGTAAATGATTTAGCATGTGAGTGAATGATATTTAAAGATTTCAAGGCTGCATATTATATTTTAAAAACATTAACATTTCTAATGTTTCTGGATTCAACCTAGCCCTACGGTCACTCAATGTCACGTCGCATGTTGAAAAAACTTTCACTAGCTGTATTGGTGGCAGGAATAGCTAGCAACTTTGTAGCAATCAATGCCATTTTTGGAAGCTTGTGTTTGACATCATTTTCCTTCCAAAATTGCAATGCGGGACAGCCAGTTACAGGCAGTGCCAAATATTTATCCAGTTTGTATCTTTTGTCGTTTTTGTCATAATTAGATAAGGGAGTTGCAGCTGTTTTGAAATCTGCGAGTAAATCCAATTCAGTGTCAGCTTTAAGTCTTTTTAATGGTGGCCGA